TATTTTATATTCTTTTATTGTATACAATGAGGACTTTTTTTTGGCTAGTCAGTCAGTCACTGACAATAAGTCTCTGCCATCATATGTGAGAGAATTAAAGATATAACATGGCCTTATAAATGGGACAACTAGCAGGAGAATGAAGATGTGTGTGCTGATGCCATAGAGGATTGTATGTGATATGACTTACATCAATAAAATGCTTTAGACATCCCAGAGGGGAGAGGCCCCATTCCGGTCAGGAAAAGGAGCATTGTTACTGCCCTTGTCTGATTAATAAATGAGCAGAATGCTTAATTTATGACAGTGGAAAGGTTTCAAACCTGGAATGTTTTCCGATGTTGCCTCCAGGTATGCAGCCTGGAATTCTGCCAAACCTGTTGCTCTTGAAAAGTGATCACAAGAAACAACTTTTTAAATCTGCTGACACCATAATTTAGTGTTTTAAGATATGATCTGCTGCTGGGGTACAAGTTCAGGTCATAAACCTTTCTCAAGAACTGCATAGATCATTCTAGGTATATTTTGTCAAATGGAAAAATCAAGGCAGTGAATCATGCTATTGGCTATTTTAATGTAATGTCTATGCTAAGGGATATTAAAGAAATCTAACTTCCGCCTGAAAACATGCCAATAATTTTCAACAGTAAGACTCCCCTCTTGACCATTTAAAAAGGATGAACACAAAAGTTTCACTCAAAGAAAACATTCAAAATCAGTTAAATCAATAAAAAGTATTCTTAATGCACAGAATAAACAGGGAATGACTATTTAGACCTCAAATTAAAATAATTTTTTAAAAAAAACCACCTTGGCAATATGATTAATACAAGATTTAATTTTTATGGGTATTACTTGAGGGCAAAATAGTTGACAATGAGGGAGAGTTAGCAGGGGGTAAACATCTGAATACCTAGCCTTTGCTATACACTTCCAGCCCCTGCATCACCTCTTTGGAAGAGTCTAGAAAACCCCAAGTCTAATTTAACTCTACCATTAATAGATGAAGGCATTGAGCACAGACTAGATGAGGTCACAGAATTCGTTAATGAAACAAGTTTTTGCTATACCTTTCCCTTAAACTCCATCATATTGGCAGAGGGATTTTATTCACCTTCCCTTCCCTTTTCATCTCTCCTCCCATAATTTAATACAACTCAACCCAGGCTTCTCCTCTGAGTTCCCAGACTTCTCAACACAGCCAATGATATGTTTTAAGGATGATTGGAGCTCAACAGGCTGTACTATATATATAAATCTCCCCCAAGACCTGATTCTTTCTGGTGCTCACAAGCTAAGGAGTCACACAGCTATCTAGCCAGGTACTCAAATTGGAAACCTAAGCATCCTCCATAAGCTCCCACTTTCTTGCTTATTCACATCCACACTGTCACCATCTCCTGTTGATTTCAACTCCTAAATATCTATAGATTCTTCACTTTCTACACCTTTCCTTGCTATCATCTTTATACGACTTCCTAACACATCTCCCTGCTTCAGTTCTTGCTCTCACAGTCAATTTTCCACACCAGAAGAATGAAAAAAAAAATTCAAAAGACAATTAATATGGTGTGACTTTTCTATTTGAAAGCCACCCTTTACTATTCAAATAAAAGCCAGTGTCCTTATTCATCTGAATTAGCCCTGACTACCTCTCCAGCCATATCTCCTCCCTCTCTCCTCACAGACCATGTTTTCAGGAGCCACTCTGGTCTTCTGTCTCTTCCTCAAACAAGTCAAGCTTATTTTGAACTTAGGATGTTTGTACAAACTACTCCTCTCCCTACCTTGAAATCTTTGCTATTGGCAGGGCAAGATGCTGCTTGTCATACAAATCTTAGCTCAGATTCACCTTTTCAATTAAGTTGTCCCAGACCCCACAATTAAAAGTCATTGAAAAGCCACTCTCTAGCATGTATCCCTGATAAGCTGAACCATATACAATTTCCATTTTTGACTTATTTAAAAAAAAACAACCTCAGTCTCATATGATTTAATTAGTATTCTCATCATAGCACTTACCAATACCTACTATTTTCACATGTACTTATTATTTATTTCATTAAAGAGTATATGGTTTGTGTGGTTAATTGGCTATACCCCGTAACAAAATATTTTCCGGTGCATAATAGATACTGAATGAGTGAGTAGATGAATTAATGAAGTACTCAATATTTGTCTCTCTCATCAACTTTACCCTCCCTAAGGCCAAAGGCTTTACCTATTTTGTTCACACTCTTATGCCAGTATTTACAGTAGTGGTGGTATGTTTTGTGGAATGGATGAATAAATGAATGAATGAATGACTCATTCTTAACTCCCAACTTACTATTTCTATCTCCAAGTCCTCATTTCCATTCTAATCAGTAAAGTGTCTGAATTTGATAACATGGAAAAAATGTTAAATTGTCTGATAGGCAGCTATTATTCAAGCAGAATTCATTCTTTCTACACAAGAGAATGATCTAGATTGGAGCTTGACAAACTTCTTTTATAAAGGCAAGATAGTAAATACTTTAGTTTTTGGTAGCCACAGAATTTCCATTGCAATAA